GCAGAGTAGCCAGTTTCTTCCAGTAGATGCACTCAGCCGTGGTTAGTATCACTTTCGGGTGAATAATAGCACCGTGACAGATATGGTGCCACCCAGACCGCCGCTGCTCTTGTACAGACATTTGCCACGGCCAAGTTTGACCCTTCCTTAACGGTTCATTCTTTTCCATGCCCGAAGCAGTGTGGGATTTGGTCAGATGTAAGATGCCCGATTTCTCCAATTCTGGTTTCTCCTCATAAATTTTCGAGCGCGGTTTCACTATTTTTGTCTTCGGAATTGGTAAGCCGAATCTCATAAACTTGACTCCGTCGCTGGGAATCTGATCGATATTTCGTGAGATTCTCCACATTCTGACCTCCGGCTTAATTAAGTTCTTATTCGACAAAGGTGACTTAGATTTCAGTATGCTAACCATTTCGGGAGATCGTCTCGACCTAACGCGATGCAACCGATTGGACTGACCCGGTGAATCCATCGTTAAATCCCTTAACAGAATTAGGGCCTTTTTTAGTTTGGACGGATTTTCATATATCAAAGGTCCTCGTTCTTTGGGAGAACGCACTCGCTTGGTATTATTTTGTCGTTTTCTTTGTTGTTTAGACAAAACACTGTTGTTAGTAAAAACGTTTATAGACAATCTAGGCTCATGGGGAAATTTACGACAGTTGTATTGAATTTTACTGATTATTTGAATGCTTTGGTTGGAATCTGAGTGACCGGAAGATGACGATTTAGAGTTTTCGGCTTCAAACGCATCCAAATTGGGAAGTAGGGTGTGGTCATGTTTTTGAAAGTTTTTATCGGGTAGGTAGATTTTCAGCGAATATTTGCTTTTATCTGCATTTTGAATATCATTCTCGGATTTACTAACACTGTGCTGTTGAATTTTTTTCCGGGAACGTTTCGCGACAAGAGCTGTTTTCTTATCCGAACGAATATCAACGTCTTTTGGACGGACTTCAGTTTCGATGACAATTCTGGAGATGAGATTTAATATTTTAGAATTTGAGGGCTTCTTTTTGGACGCTCCTTCGCGAAGAATATTTTTTTTCTTTTCGTTTTTTGCGTCGGGTTGCTTTAAGCCGTTGCCGGAAAGCGCGCTATGACTTGTCGATTGATAAAATCCGGTTAGATCAGAGTCTGAATCGTTATTAAAACGCCGAGGCATAGAACGACTTGGTATTTTTTTAAGACGAACTCTTTTATTATGATTAGCCTCAGCTTGCTTCATGTCGTTATCATTACGTATTTCAAATTCCACCAATGGTTTTGCTTTTTTATGACTCTGGCGTGATATTTCCGTGAAAGCTGATGTGTTGTGTGGCTTAAGAGCGTGATTGTTTAAATTTTCATATATCTTTGATTTATTCTTATTTTGGATCTCAGAACTTAACGGGTTGTCACGCAAACTCTCGTCGAGTCTCAACTGATGTTTAAGCAAAACGTTATTATTATTATTGTAATATTCTTGTTTGTTGTCGATTTTTTTAACAGCTTCAGCCATAGGCGTGGAAACTTTAGCATTACTTTGTTTTAAAGCACCATATTGGCTTAGCGTATTATCAGGCGCTCTGCCATTCACTGCATTCTGAGCGATAAGGCTTTCGGAGCTTTCATTAAAAGATTTGATTCCGTTTAATTCGTCTGCGCGGTTGTCGCTTAACCTCACCTTTAACGGTGTAGCCATTTTGTCTCTTGCCGCCTGGGACGAAAGCGAATTGCTTTCGTCTAGGGCCTCTGGGTACGTTAAGAATCGTTGCGAATCGAGTTCTTGTTTAAGAGGCGGAACTTCTTTTCGCAACTTGTCGTAAGTAGTGACATTTTCAGCTTCGGGGGAGTCGTTCTTATTAAAGAGTTTCCTGTTGGCGGGGATTAATATGCTGCCGTATGCTGAGATATTGTTAGCTTTAATTTTATCGTTGCTAACTATATTTTTGCGTAACGGGCCCAACAACGGCTCAGTATCGGTTCCGTGTAGAATGCTAGACAACTGCGTCGTTCTCGGGTTTCGGGTTTTAGCATTAGCTATGTTTAGATCACCTGTTAAATTATTAGTGTTTAGTAATAATACATTTATAGTCAGTAGGTTCTTACCATTTGCACTGGAACTTAATGTGTTTAAAAAAGTAACCGTTTTCTTGTTATTATTTGATGCCACTCCGTTATTAAAAGAAACGAAATAATTGTTACTTATTTTTGGAAGTAGGGGTAAAACCTTACCGTTTCCTGATCTGTTGCGCAGCATTATATCTCCTTTGTGGTTCTCTGCCTTATGGTAACGTTTTGAGCTCCCCAGTGGATCACTTTCAAATCCCGTTACATCACTTGGTCTCGTTATGTTGCCGCGGTTGTCTTGAGATATTGTTTCGTTATAAAGATTCATTTTCTTTGAAGCTGTTTGCGTAGAGGAATCAGAAGGTCCGTCCCTTTCAAATGATTTCGCGTAACTTGATTTCATGCATGGCTTTGTGCTGCTGCTGACCTCGTCATGACGGGCCATTGTCTTATTTAGTCGTGTAGCATTATTTGCTATAATTCCGTCTTTAGTATACGTTGTACGATAATCCTGGTTTATTTGTGGCTTATGTGTTGAACCATGGATAAGGACCAAGCCATTATCGTCACGTATTAACTGATGAGAAAGTTCACCATTGTTCTGATTTTGTTTTGGTAAACTGGTCTTTGCTAAGGAGTCATTATAGTTTAACTGGTGGAATAATGCAGTGTAGGCTGTGTCATTTTCGGGTAGTGCCTTACCCCGAGTTTTCGAAGGGAGCGCTTCATTGAACAGGTACGAATTTGGGAGATTTAATCTGTTTTTATGGTTTGAAGTTCGGTTCTTGTTGGACCAGTTCGGTAAAGCATTAGTTATTTTTAGCGCCCCCGTCAAAGTTGTGGGTTTTTTGGTCTTATTTAATGTTAACTTATCGTCTTTATCCCTTTCTGATAAGTCGTTGTTAGACGGAGCCTCGTTGTCGATTAAGTTTTCATGGCCGACTGACGGAGAGGAAGAATTTCGATTTTTATCATGAAGCTTTAGGAATTTTAGCAATACGATTCTTCTTGGTGTAACATAGTCTGGTTCTAATGTCTTAGATTTGTCGTTTTCTTCGTTTTCGTAAACGGAATCCTTGGTCGGCCAAACCGCTTCCTGGTTTAAATTTTTGAGATGTAATTTTGTTTTATTCTGGTCTAATTTGTTATTATCAGACAGAAAAATGTCGATGCTATGTTCATCGGTTATTTTGCCACGGGCATTTTTTGTAGTGTTGCTATTATTTAAAAGATCATTGGTTTTGTGACTATCACCGTTATTATAGTAAAGCGTAGAATTTTCCTTTTCCGCTTTGCTTTCGTTCTCTAATAAAGAATTCATATTTCTCGGTTTTCTGCTCGAATTCTTCAAAACAATAGCTATATCGTAAAGCTGGTTGTTGGGTAATTGGGATTTGTATTCGACTGGATGAGATGAATTTGTGAGATTGTCATGACAAAGTTTATTATTAGAACATTCTTTTTTCTTAAGATTCCTTACAAAGTGCAAGTCCGAATTCATTCTAGTTACATTTACTTTATGGTTCGACATTTTATTAATAGGCCTTTGGCTTAGCCTGCTTAAAAGACGATTGTATCCCGTGACGCCATTTTGTTTCGTATTGTCCGGAAGTCGAGTGTTGTATTGGGTTGTTGGTTTATTTTTGTTAATCCTTCCAAACTCAGATTTTTGTAAATTTCGCTGTGGATTAATCCAAGTCTTTGCATCAGACACACTTTTCAAGTTTTTAAATGACGTCTTGTGATCAGAACTGTATGCATCTGAGGAAATTTTTTCATTTTCAAAGAGTGATTCGTTGTGATTCGGCCATTTTAAGGGCTTCTTCGTGGAATGTAGATCGCTGCCGGAAGCGGTGTCGTTGTCTCCAATGTCTGTGCGTGAGTGAGACGGAACAGCGAAGCTTATCTTGGATTTAATCAGCGTTGAGTTTGCAATTAATACCTCAGACTTAACAGACAACGTATCAACGTTTTGGTTTGAGCTTTTCGCTGACGATTTCTTTGGTGATAGCATAGTATTGCCACTTGCAGCTGATTTTCCCGAAACCTTTGAGACGTTCTTTAGAGCCCGTTTGACTGCCTTCTTGGTCACCCTGTCAGCTTCTCGTCGTGTGTTAAGCGGATCGAAGACAACGTCGTTTGTAGGAGTCAATGAATTTTTTAGCAGATGGTAAACAACAGAATGGTCATCTCCATTATTATTATTATTATTATTATTATTATTATTATTATTATTATTATTATTCCGGAATATGGGCTTTTTCGAGTATTCTGTATCGGAGTCCGTCCAATATAGATTTTGATTCATTAAATCTCTTTTCCATACACTTTCCCTCTGTTCCTGGATTTTAGAGGCGGCTTCTTTTTCCGGATGTATGTTTTCGGTGTCTTGCTTTTGTGAAAACTCATGAAACATCGATGGTTTGAATTCGGAAAAGTCTCCCGACGGAATCTCTATCGCCATCTCCCAATCTTTTTCAAAAGTTCGCACATTGTGAAAGTATTTTCGCGCCGCATTCTTGGAATTGTTCATGGTAACAAAACCTTTCACTGCCCAAAGAAAATCCGGACGGTCAGATATTGGTGGACGATCTGGAAGAGAATTTGGCGTAACCGAAGGAATCCAGACGAGATTTGCAACCAAGAGGCCGACGAGAAGCGTTATGAAGCAGACAGCCATTATGAAAGATGAAAAAAAAATGGATGACACAGAGATGAAATGTTGGTTCTCTCTAACAGATGGCAAATAACAACTGCTTTTTCGATAAAGTGGCTTTATAAATTACTTTCTGTGCAACGTACTTTGATGACCTGAATTGTCGTTTGCTCTCCTTGAAGCTTTGCACATGATTAATATAGCTGGTTAGCTAAAGTAGATTAAACAAAAGAAATAATCGATATTAAAATTTATTTTTTTAAAGAGATAGGTCTGACCTGCTGGCTTCAATTAGAGTTGAGCTGACGCGGGCCGAGTCAATGATTTCTTTTCGAACACATAATCCCATGAGTAATTAAATCAGCCGTATTTGAATATTGAGGAATACAGACGCCCCTGCAAATATTTGCTTCGTTTCAACGCGTCAGATCATCGACTTTATTAAAGCCATTTTCCCAAGATTATGCAGATAAAAAAACAAACAAACAAAAAAGATGAAATCTCCCAATTATTTTTGACAAAACGATTCGAAGATTATCACCTTTTTTAGTGTAATCATCGTGGTTAGAATTTTAAATTTCATTACAGATATTTTGACGCACGGTTTAATAGTGGCAAACAGGAGGGTGGGTTTGGATATATCGGACATTATTCAAAATATATGTCCAGTTGTAAGTTATGTTCAGCCTGCTAATTTGAGACATGGAGCTTATTGATAGATTTGTCTCAAACCTTTTAATATCTATCTATCTATCTATCTATCTATCTATCTATCTATCTATCTATCTACTTAGCTATGCCTATATCTATCTATCTATCTATCTATCTATCTATCTATCTATCTATCTATCTATCTACTTAGCCATGCTTATTTCTGTCTATCTATGTTTACTTCTATCTATCTATCTATCTATCTATCTATCTATCTATCTATCTATCTACTTAGCTATGCATCTATCTATCTATCTATCTATCTATCTATCTATCTATCTATCTATCTATCTATGCCTATTTCTTTCTTTCTCTGCCTATCTATCTATCTATCTATCTATCTATCTATCTATCTATCTATGGCTATTTCTATCTATCTATCTATCTATCTATGTTAATTCTTCTGTCGGCATTTTAGTTTAATCTATCTATCTATCTAAGTTTATTCCTATCTATCTATCTATCTATCTATCTATCTATCTATCTATCTATCTATCTATCTATCTATCTATCTATTCCTTTTCTTTCTTTCTGCCTATCTATCTATCTATCTATCTATCTATCTATCTATCTATCTATCTACGTTAATTCTTCTGTCGCTGGATTTCGCACTTAATTTTGATTATTCACAAATTTATTATCGTACAAAAAAAAAAAAAAAAACCGTCTCAAAAAATCATGGAAAAAATTGCCGAAAACAATCGTAGTAATGAAAACTTGGGAATCCAAAATGTCTGGATTGCGCGTCCGGATCTGGTCCGGAATGGTTTTAATTTCCCCACGGAGTCGGCCTGATTCCAAAATGATATGATATCTTGGGTCCCGTCCTCTAGTAGTGAAGATGGAAACACAGACAATTTTATTTTGAAACATTGTAATTTAAGAACAGTAATTTATTTGAACATGAGCTTTTGAAAGTTAGAGATTTGTGTTCCTTTAATTGCTTTTATCAGTAGAAACCAAAATGGCGGAATCGGAAAACAATCACATTAATGAAAACTTGAGTATCTAAAATTTTAGGATTGCGGGTCCAGATCCGGCTAGGAATATTTTTAATCTGCTCACGGAGTCGGCCTGATTCCAAAATGGTATGATATGTCAGGCTACGGCTTTTAGGAGTAAAGGTAAATAAGTGTGACACACTGACATTCACATTTATTATATAGATGATCTAACAAATGATCTAACACATTTTATTCATTGAGCATCTTTTTTATATTCTTTTCTATTTTTTTTTTTTTTTTACTATTTTTACTTATTGAATACATTAAAAAATTCCATACTTTGTTTGTGGTGATTCATAATCAGAATGCTGGTTTGAATATCTTTTCCGTTCAATGTTTCTAATACAAAATTTATTTACTTTATTTGGATTTATTCTTGAAATTGTAAAATTTTGAAGTCAGTTTGTAAGCAAAAATCTGCGGAAATTAGGTGTTTCTCTACATACTTTCAGGTGGTCTTTAAAATTAAATACTCAAAAATTGATAAAGGCTATGAATCTAATTTTTGGCGTGAATACTTATTATATCAAATCCCAGCATATAGATTGAGTGCAATATTGACTTTCTAAAAAATAAAATTGAAAAATCAACTTGCCCTACTTAGACATGGCCCCAAAATGGTTGGGTACCACCATTCTGGAGGTTATTAAGCAGAAATAATTGTAGATTGGAATGCGGTTATTTGTAGATATTTTATATCTATTTTATATTTTGTATTTTATATTTATATTTTAATTTTATTGTTTTTTTTTATTATTTATTATTGATTATTATTCTTATTACATTTACTTGCATTTGCATTCTTAGTGTGTTAACTTATTTGAATTCAGAATTATTTCTACTCAAGAAAACCTAAAATAATTTGAAATATAACTGTTACCGCCTACCCAGTAACCGTCAAGATAATACAATGGACCTTACTATCCATAATGCATCATTGACCGGTATATATAAATAGTCGAGTCAACACACAACACACATGGCCTAAAGATTGCGCTCACGCATGAAACAGACTTTTGCCGTTCGGTTTTTGAGTTCAGTGTTCACTTTTATATTCACATACGCACTATCCCT